TAATGCCCTTCAACAGATGAATGGATAAAGAAGATGTGGTCCATATATACAATGGAATATTACTCAGCCATCAGAAAGGATGAATACCCAATTTTTACATCAACATGGATGGGACTGGAGGAGATTATGCTAAGTGAAATAAGGCAAGCAGAGAAAGTCAATTATCATAGGGTTTCACTTATTTGTGGAACATAAGGAATAGCATGGAGGACATTAGGAGAAGGAAGGGAAACTGAAGGGAGGGAAATTGGAGAGATGAACCATGAGAGACTATGGACTCTGAGAAACCAAACTGAGGGTTCTAGAGGGGAGGGGATTGGGGGGATGGGTTAGCCCGGTGATGGGTATTAAGGAGGGCACATACTGCATGGAGCACTGGGTGTTACACGAAAACAATGGATTGCGGATCACTACATCAAAAACTAATGATGTATGGTGACTAACATAACATCATAAAATTAAAAAAAAAGATGTGTGAACATTTCAGATGATGGGCTCAGAAGAACACACTGATGAGGGAGGGACCGTGGAAAAGGATGGGAAGGGTTAGGGGTGGAGGCGTGCTCTCAGCACTCCTCTTCCTCTTAACCTGAAGCAGCACGGACTTGGACTGGAACCTAAACCCTTGGACACTGAGCACTGTCAGATGGCGTTACTAGATGAAGACTGAGAGGACACTGAACAACAAAATGAGTTTACTGTGGACACTGAACAGAGGAGGTGTGTGCAGTAGTGTTCTGATTATTCTGTAGCCTTGTCACATCATAGAGCTGCCCGCATAGCTCTGTTTCTCGGGGTTTGTCATCATCTATACTAAAAGTAATAGAGACTTTGGGATGTCACTTACAGCTAGTTCCAGTCATTTTTTTCAATGCACTACAAATCATACCCTGTTTCATTTTTCCCTAGGCTCAAAGCCTCACTCCCCAGGACTACAGTCTGAGGTGGTCAGGCCTTCTGGTGACAGTGGGTGAAGTCCTGGAAAAGAGCTTAGTGAATGTGACGCGGACCGACTGGCACCTGACATTCACCGGCATGTCTCGCCGGCAGATGATCTACAGTGCGGCCAAAGCCATTGCTGGCATGTACAAACAGCGCCTGCCCCCCAGGACCGTGTGACGGAAGACTCACCCAGGGCCCGGAGACCACTTCGCTTGGAACTTGGCGGTAAAGACTTGGTCCCATCCCCAGGTGGAGAGCTCCAGTGGATGCAGCAGTCTTGAGAATTTGCCTGTAGGCTGCACTTGATCTTTCCTAGAAAGGCACGGTGTCATTCCAGGAGCTACAAAGAAGCAGATCTTGGCCGTGGTTGTGTCATTTCACGTACCACCACAGTTCTTAGAAAACAAAATATATAAATATTTTTATAGGACAGTTTGATACACCAAATTTGTAAGGGGCAAATTCACGTGCTATGACATTTAACTTAATGATATAGACTTGATTTTGTTGTTTAAGAAGATATGATTCGTTTAAGAACATGTTATTGTTTATTTCATGATTTCTCTCTTCTCAGTCTTTGATGCTTTTTGTGTGTGCAGGTCATCTCAGGTCTGACGCTGAGCTGTGAGCTCAGTAGCTGACCCTCAGACACGTACTTGCAGAGAGATGGCGCACACTTCTATGCATACTTTTTACATGGGCCAAAATAATGGGTTTTTTTCGTTATCATGTACGTACACACATCATCTAAAAAAAGAGTTTTTTTTAAAATAAGTTTTGGCATTTCACAGATTTAGACTCTGAAGCATTGCAGTAGTATGTTTTATTTTCCATTGCTATATGACAACTAAGTGGCCCATGATTTGAAGGTATTTTAAATCAGAAGCATTTTGGTTATTTTTATATAATACTATTCAGTATTTCCAAGTGAACTCTGACAATGGCCATTATTTCTGCCTCCACTCATACATTCTCGAGTGTCGTAGAGAAATTTTTCAGAGGAATTACTTTGTTATTTATGAAATTGTATGCCTCTTTTAGTTAAGGTTACTTAACATTTAGTTTGCCTTAAACACTGCTTTTCTAACTTGGTGCCATTCTGCCTTTACTCTTTATGGAAATTTTCAGTGAAACTGTTTAATATTCAGCTGGTTTATCTAGTCCATCATGTTTGTATTTAGTGAAAGCTTCTCCCCCCGCTAATCCCACATAATATATTTTAGCATTTTTGGATTTATATAAATCAAAATTTAAATAGTTTGTTTTATACTTTGGACTCTATGTATGCAAGTTCCTATAACTTTTTGAAGATAGTGTCTTACACAAATGTAATTTAATTTTTATTTACTCGTCTATACAGTTCTTTAGCTGTAAATTAATTAGCACAATCTTATAAAGGGTATTGAAGCTCTTATCCTGCACTGTCACTACAGGTAATGTTGGCTTTGTATTCCTTTGGGTACTTACTTGATTTTTGCTTTTTTACCCAAGGACGAGAAGCATTATTTTCACAACTATATGTTCATTTCCAAGCACCATATGATTGCTTGGTGAAATTAAGACTTGTTTGTCATTAAAAGTAAGGAGAGAAAAGACATGTAACCAGTTGCTGCGGCATAATAGGGCTAGAATGCTTTTCTCCCCTCTTTTCTTGCTATTTGTGCAACACTCTATGTTTTCTCCATCTGATTAATAAAAAAGAGAAGCCATTCTGTACCACTTGCTTTTATCCTTTATTTTTAAAAAGCTACACTTTTCTAACAGGATTTTATCATGGCATTGGCCTGGTGACAAATCACAATTAGGGATGAAGGATGCCCGTACTTGGAATATGCAAGTGCAGATATGTCACTTTCCCTCCCATTATAGGGAGTCTTAGAGATCCTAAAAAAATGTCTTTTTCTTTTTATTTTACCAAGTCTCAATAGTTTATGTTTTTGAAGGCTGTTTTCACAGAATCACAAACACGGACATCCCCTTAGAGGACATTTTCCCACAGTCCTCAAATTCTTCAGTTATTCTGTAGCTTGGGTGAAGCCAGGTAATTTTCCCAGCCCTGTTCATCTGCTGAACCTTCTGCTCTTTGGAACAGTGTGAGTGGGCGAGGAGGATTAGGGAAGGGCACATGAAAAAGATAAACCCAGGATCCACTTTTGACCTCTGACACTTCTTTTGGCCCCCAGTTACCGTTGAAAGTCATCCAAGCATGACTGACTCCACACACTCTGTTTTCCGCACCTCACGCTTATTTTTTCATCTTTAGATTTCTTTGTCGTATGAGGGGCAAGAAAAGTCACTCATTGCTTCGTACGCAGCCAAGCCGGGCAGGCCCGTGGTGAGTGTTGGCCTGAGATATATGCGAGCCCTTGGTCCGAGGCCACATTTCCCCTCACCTGTCACCCAGCCGCCCCTGGTTCTTTGCCCTTCCTGCTCATTCCCTCCTGACACTAGCATTTCTGAGGGAGAGTCAGACTTGGGGCTCTTTGCTCTTTTGGTCCCTCAAGCTTCTCAGGAAAACCGATCTCTAACACAGTTCTTCAGCACTGTTCTTATGGTCGGGTCTGCGATATTTTGTTCCTCTGAAATGCTCCAGGAATCACTTCGTGAATTTTCTCTGCTGGTACGCTTTTTTGTTTTAATTAAGCAGTGTGAAGGCCACCAGGAAAAATGCAGCAAGAGAAATGTAATGTCAACCTTAGGTGACAGAAGGAACTCCGATGACTCCATTCAAGACCCTTCGGCTAATAAGCCTGGACCAGGGCTGTGCCGCAGTTGGAAAGCTTCAGGCAGTTCTAGTTTTCTCCTCCTGTCTCTTAATTACTTCCCCATTCTTTGTTCCTTTCTATCTTAAGGATTAATGAGGTAGAAAATCAAGATGACTGAATTCAAACCAAATGGTAGTATACTGGTAAGTTTAAGGAGAGTATGATATGCATGTATTCAGAAATTATGCAAATTAGCAATACACTCAGGGTCAACTTAATTACTTTATGTTGTTGAATTTACTTTGTTCCTTGACTACAAAAAATTCTCAACAGGTATTTGTGTTCTCTGAAGCCAAATTGATGGTATTTTGTGATCCACAGATGTTGGGTTATGCATAAATTATTAAGAAACTTGGGTTTTTACTCCCAGAATATGATGTTCATTCGTAAGAAACTCTGCAGGATGATGTACTGGATAAGAACAGTTTTGTAAGTATGTAAATATGTCATAAATAAATAATACCTCATTTTATTTCCCAAAGTTGTAAAGTGATTTTTTAAATGCTAAGTCATATTAATATTCTATTACAAGGAGCTACATTACTTTCATTGTCTCAGTGGGCTACTGGCTGCCAACAATTCTTACAGAATAGCAACTTAAAACACATCTTTCAAGTGCAGTGGTAACAATTCAAATATACCAGAATCGCTAAGTTCATGTTCAGAGAACTCAGGATGTTTAGGGTAGAGAATACTCTGGAGATGGGGGTGATGGGCAAGAAGTTACGGCCTGTGTTCCTGAGGATATGTCTTGACTGGGGACTTTAATTTACCCTTAACTTCCACAAGTATCTTCTTAAAAAAAAAAAAAAGTTTATTATATTTGCTATTCTGAGCCTGTGATCTCAGGGCAGAGATTTTTGTTTTGATTTGGTAGGCAGGGGGGTACTTTACGAAAGACCATGAAATATTCATTTGGGTGTTTTGTTTGTTTGTTCACCAAAGGAAAATAATATTGTTTTCAGTACACTAGAAGAATACCAATTCGGGACCCAGGAGAGGCCCTGTTAAGTTTATACTTTGTTTTTTAAGTTTAGGCAAGAGAAACAAAATTAGCAAGACCAATATCAAGGTCTAAAAACTCATACATAAAGGAAATTTTTGAAATTATCCTTGTCATGAATACCTAGTAAGAATTTAAAGCAGTAAGAAAAAGGAATTCACAAGTGAGAAATGCACAGTGCTAGTTAGGTACTGGAGTAGAAACTTTTTATAGGTGCAGTAACTGAAACAGGATCAGCTACTTACTCAGTATCATCCCAGCGAGTGAGTTACAGGCAAAGGACTGAAGCGGAGGCTGTCACTTCCCAGACCATTCGCTTATGAAACATCCTGCATACTTGCTTCACGAACTTAGGGGTACATAGCTAATCCTGTAAGTATTTGTTGAATTCAACTTAATTCAAACAACAGCTTGAGACTTTGCCCTGGTATACTTTCAATTTTACAACATTATGTTTAAGGAACACTTTTGACTCCGTATTTTTCATTTTAGTTTTAAGTGCTGCTTTGGGCTTTGCTTCTGGTATAAGAATATATTTGTGGTCACTGAATATTCTGCTCCCAAATTTAAGAAACCAGAAACTAGGTTTACATTTGAGTATCATTTTTAGGATTAGAGCCAGAAATGTTGTTACTGTCTAACTAGTCTTCAAGCAAGATACTGACCACATACCTTGTAAAATATATTTTAATATTGAGTCCTCCTGCTCCAGGTGCCACGCTTTTGAGAACCACCGCTGTGATACCATTCCTGACTCATTCTTCACGTCCTGATACTTTAGAGAGTGAGGTCAGCCAGATGGCAGCATAGGTCGCTCCTGACTTCACTCTCCCTCGCAGGAAGAGCAACTAGCAACTATTCATGGACAAGATACCACTGAGAGAATCGTAGAACGAGGGGGCGAGGCTGAAGCAGCCCTGCACCACAGAGACCTAGAAAGACGGCGTGAGAAGGGGAAGAGGCCCAGCTAGCCACTTGCCTGTATTGCCCCTCTCCCCAAGGCTGGCACAGCACCACTGACAGATCCCCCCTCTGAGCCTCCGGTTCCCCCTCAGGGAAGAGAAATCCCAGGGTGGACATCTAGCTACCCCAGCATTATGGGTTGCTTCTTGGGAGCCCCCACTGTAGTCTTGATTCTGAGGAATTGCGGGCGAATCTGCAGGACTTGACCATCGTGGCCAACCGATTTCCTACCTGCAGCACCCAAGCAGTGGTCCCGATCAGCAGTTTGCTCATCTGCAGAAGCAAGTGTGTGGCACAGTCTGACCCGGGAATTCAGCACGGTGCAGGTCTGCCTGCTTTGGGTCCTCTAATCAATAGCCTCCCCAGCCCTGGATCCTGGTCTGCCCCCACCCAGGCAGGGGAGCTGAACCAGAGCCCAGCCCTCTGCTGAGTGTAACTCCTAGCCCCATCTGACCAGAAAGGCCGGCAGGAACCCCTGGAAGCTGCATAGCCTGGCAATGCTTGTGCAGAGAGAATGGCAGGCAGAGCTGATCATCCACAAAATGAAGCCAGTGCCAGGTGTGGAGGAGTCCCTTGCTTTACCAGTCAGGAGCTAATGCATACCCTACTCACCATTAAGTAAAACTCCCACCACCACCAAACCAGAAAGCCAGACTCAAACACCTGGAAAGCTATGTAGCCCATCAATTCTTGAGCAGAGAACCTGGAAGGCAGAGCTGATAGTCTGCAGAGCAAGGCTGGTAACCCTGTTTAGCTAGGAAATTTGAGAAATGGGTTGGCTTGAGAGAAGACAAGGCTTTACCAGCCTTGGAGCTGGTTCTCCCTCTGTGCCAGGACAGGGAAACTAATTCACAGCCTCACTCATTGCTAAATAAAGCCTCAGCCTGCCTTCCCAGAGAAGTTAGCCATAGGAAGCTGGGTAGCCCATCCAATAGTCCATGACTTTACCCATTTATAGAAAAAAACCAGTGGCCTTGTTTGGCCAGGAAATTCAGTGTACACTTTTGCCTGATTCAGGTCCCCAGTCAATGAGTTATGCATGTCCTGGGCTCCGGCCTGCTGTCCTGCCTGGGCATGGAAGCTCTGCATAGTCCCACCAGCTGCTGAGTATAGTACCCAGTCCCAACCATCTAGTATGCCTGACCAGAGCACCAGGCAACTTGTGGAGCCCATCCTACCACTCGACTTGGGCAAGGAATCAAACCAGCAGTTTAATCCAACTATTCTCAGACAGCCACACCCCACCTTAGCCTCAGAGCTTGGGCAGGTGCCTCAACCCAAATTAGACCCTGATAGCAAGCCCCACCACCCCAAGGATGTTCCTAGCAGATATTTCCAGAAAGCCATATTGAGCTTACTGGTGAAGAACTGGTCTAGGCCTACTCAAACCTGTGAAGTATGGAAAAGGAACCACTTACTTGAATGTGCAAATACCAAAATAAGGAATCCCGGATCAGTAAAAATAAGATAACAGGAAGCACCAAAGAAAACCTGAAGCTCCAATAACTGACCCTAAAGAAATGGAGATCTATCAATTGTCAGACAAAAATTCTGAATTATCCTTTTTCTTTTTGCCCCCACTCTTGTTTTCCAGAATAATCCTTTTAAGAATGTTTAGTGAACAACAAGAACACACAACGTAATGAAATTTGAAAAATGCATGCACAAATGGTAAGTTCCACTTAGAAAGAAACTATCAACAACAACAAAAATCCAAACAATTCCTAGAGCTGAACAGTATGACGACTGAATTGAAGAATTCAAAAAAGAGCTTCAAAAGTAGATTTGACCGTGCAGAATAATCTGTGACTGAAAGAAGGAACATATGAAATTCTACAGTCAGAAAAAAAGATTATATATAATTTTATAGTATATATATACACACACACACACACAAAGCTCACTGTTAATGGGACACCATCAAAAGAAATGTTACCCACCATCATGGGAATTCTAGAATGAGAAGAGAAAGAGTGACAAAGTATGTTTAAGCAAAAAATGGCTGAAAACTTCCCAAAACCTGGGGAGAGAAAAAGAAATCCAGATACGTAAGAGCCAAAGGACCCAAAGTAGGTTGAGCCCGAATAGGGCTGCACAGAGACAAATGAATTAAATTGTGAAAAGTCAGAGATAAGTAATTTTGAAGCTAGCAAGAGAAAAGAGGAAAGTTACATGCACGGGAACCCCCCAAAGACTCTCCATCTCTCAACAGAAATGATCCAGGCAGGAGACAATGGGATGATATATTCAAAATACTGAAAGAAAAAACTCAACCAAGAATTCTATATCCTGGAAAGCTGTTCTTCAGAAATAGAGGAGAAATGAAGACTTTCCTGAGTCCACAAAAGCTGAGGGAGTTCATCTACATCTACCTTATAAGAAATGCTATTGGAAGTTCTTTGAGTGGAAATAAAAAGAAGCCAATTAACATCATAAAAACAAAGGAAGGTAGCATAAAACTCACTGGCACTGGTAAACATATAGTGAAAGTTAGATTCTGTAATATGGAATGTTGGTACATAATGCACTTATACTTCTAGTTTAAAAGTTTTAAAACATACTAAAAATAACTGCACTATGCTGTTACTAGATACAAAATATTTAAAAATATGCAAACTATAACATCAGTAACAAAATGGGGGTGTGAAAAGTGTAAAGTTTAAGATGCTATTTGAGTTGATTTTTAGTTTAAAATATAATTTTCAGATATTTTTTGTAAGCTTCATGGTAACTTCAAAAGAAAAATCTAGAGTACACAAAACAACATTACAAACAGTCCAAAGCATACTGATACCAGAAGACATCAAAACACAAAACAAGAGAGGATATGAAACAATGGATCTTCAAAACACCCAGAAAATAACTGACAAAATTATTTATCAAATACCAAATAATAATTATCAATAAGTATCAATAATTACTTTAAATGTAAATGGATTACATTCTCTAAAACAAAGAATGGCTCTATGGGAAAAAAATTAACAAGATCCAATGATATGTTGCCTACAAGTAAGAGACTCACTCTAGCCTTAAAGAGATATAGACTGAGAATAAAGGAATGAGAAAAGGTATTTCAAGCAAATGGTAAACAAAAACAAAAAGCAGGGAAGCTCTACTTGTATCAGAGAAAATAGACTTTAAAGAAAGACTGTAATAATGAGAGACAATGGCACAATATAATGATAAATGGATCAATTCACTGAGAAGATACAACAAATGTAAATATTACCACAATCAAGTGGAATTTTTTTTTTTTTAAAGATTTTATTTATTTATTTGAGACAGAGAATGAGATAGAGCATGAGAGGGTCAGAGGGAGAAGCAGACTCCCTGCCGAGCAGGGAGCCCGATGTGGGACTCGATCCAGGGACTCCAGGATCATGACCTGAGCCGAAGGCAGTCGCTTAACCAACTGAGCCACCCAGGCGCCCCAATCAAGTGGAATTTATTCCATGCATTCAAGGGTGAGTCAATATCTACAAATCAAATCAATATGATACATCACGTTAACAAGA